GGACCAAGTTGGACTGGGTCTGTTTAACTTGGTCAGTTGGTTTTGACAGTCGTCTACCACCACAACTCCAGTCGTTACTGACCAGTCATTCAGTGTGTTGTCTCATGTATTTACTGAGTTGTAAGGTTTATTCTCCTTTCTGACTCTCAAAGCCTGAAAAATCTGAGCAAGCTGGTAGAATCAATCTTTATGTGGGGTGTATCTAGTCTCAAGCTCAAGCTTAATCACTCTTGCATGCTTTTGTTGTTTTGTTATGGTTGTATCAGTTGTATCACACTTTAAAGTGGGGTATGTGATTCTAGGTAATGGGATTGTAATCCAATACACATTCAGCGAATATGTCCTCACGGTCTGCTACCTTTCCGCTCTGTGTGCACTGAAAAAAAAGTAGATGGTTGAAAACAGTCCTGGCTCTGTAAATAGGAAACAAACAAAGTGGATTAGACCAAAACACACATCACTAACTTATTATTACAGCTATTCCTGCTCTCGGACATCCCGCTTACTTTTTATGTTGCAGCTACTTTAGTGACAGTGTAACGTTACATTACTTGCTATGTCATTGTTCACACTACATCATGGTATTTGTTGATTTCTCCAGAATCACTTGCTCCACCTTTAAGTTTATTAACTGTACAATGCACCACTACTCTGTGATGGTGATGTGGTTTGGACAGACCTACAGATCTCTAAGTGTGTATCTATTTGGGGCAGTGACTACAACTGGAATATTAGGTACCACGCCTACTCCCTCTCATCGAGTACAGAAAAAAAACAACTCCTAGCTGTTTACAGAAATAGCAACACAAGCAATCAGAAATCAGTCCTCCTACATTCATATGCATGCCAATGATACAGTTCTTTGCTCAGTTGGTCCCGCTTGAGATTCAGTTCTACATGAAAGATTCCTCATTATTCAAAAATAATTTGCCAATTTACACCTCATATAATTAACAGCTCTAACTAAAATCATGTAATTTCCCACCTCTACTCGACACTATATAAACATTTCTCATTGTATAGATCTTGAAACTGTTGAATTTGTTGTATGTAACTTTATTACCAAGGCCTTTTTATCACTTAAATTCTTATAAAAACAAAAACTAAGTAAGTAAATGAAGTTCTCGATTATCCCCCGATGAAGGCCACTGGTGTTATAAAGATGAACACAACTTGAACCCAATGGCATACAAACAGAATGACACTAGACCTAAATGCGTTGGATTTCACATTCAAGTTTGAAATATTGACCTTCACCACTCAAGTTGTCACAACTTACAATCATCTATTTCAACAGCCACCCACATATTCCAAAGTTTATCAGTGACTCAGCTTATTGTAATTTTCCTTCAAGTCAAGTATGTGCGTATTTTTTTATTTGTTATCTTACCAGGGTTATCTGTACTCTAAGGAGGCATGCATGAAATTAACCAAGTAACCAGGTCAAATAAGTTTGATGTAGATAAATTGTGCAGCTAAATCTTAAAGGCAGTATACTATATCTGTACTGTATATGCCCACCCACTTAACATCCTTACTTTCCACTGCACTGCTACTTATTTAGTTATTTGGTGAGATTTTCAGACACTAAACAACCATCCTGGGGACCAAGATTTGGGTTACAAAAAAGAAGAAAAAAAGAATTCATATTTATGGATGGGAAAGCACAGGTCTTTGCTGTAAAATGATTCCTGATAGAACACTTTACTGCCAGGGAACAATTCGCTTGAACACGATTCTCAATGGCCAGGCAGTTTATATGAATAAAATGCTTGTGGAGCTCAGCAGTAATGGTTTCCTTTTGTCAAAGCCAATTTAGATCCAACCATAAAAAGTGTTCTTTATTTTTTTTAAATATCGATTAGGGTTTTAAGTAAATACCTGACATAATTCTGCAACAGTCAGGAAGGTAATTACACTGTAAAGCATTACCCTGGCTTTGAATAGAGAACCAAGGATAGAAAACTGTGAGGGCTGGCTACACACTTCTGCCTCTCTTCCTCTATTCATTCATCATGTCTGTGTTTTCCTTCATCCTTTGCATCTTTCTCACCCTTCACTTCCTACAGCTCTTTGACCAGTCTCATACTGAATGCCTGCTTTATCAGCTTATTAGAGCTTGATGCTTGTGTGGCAATGTCAAGGACACTTACATCATGTTTTAAAATTTTCATTGGATGTTAGAGATGAAAATGTTGCTTCAGTGATTCAAAGTATGATAAAGCAAGGACGGTCAATGTGTTCTTACTTTGCACCTTGAAAGTCACATTGTTTGAGCTATATAAATCTAGTGGTATTTTTTTAGATTATTTCAGTCCAGTATGTTGGATCTTTGTACATCTACAATTATAATTGAAAGTAAACATTTATCCTAATACAGTAATTCCCAACCTGTCAAATTTTTGACAGATCCAGTGTTTTCTTCTCCCTGATACTTGGCCATTGTTTTATTAGCTCTTGAGTTGTTTTAAGTGTGTACTTTTCTAATGCAAGACAAGGTTGTTTATCAGAGAGTGAAGGTTCTGTGAATATAGCTCGTGCTCTGGTCTTCACCATGCCCTTATTCTGTAAGATTTAAAAAAAGGTTTATATCTTAAATAAAAATCTAGGCTTTAAAAATAACAGTTTAACAACAATTTTTAAGTGTTCTTCACAGAAATGTATGAAATGCTGACATATACTGTAGGCACACTCTATATATTTTTTCAAATCAAGAGGGCCTCACAACCCCCCATGAAACTTTGGCGACCCCTAGTGGGGACCAGTGCACTAAAAGTATGTGTCTGTATTTCTTCAGAAGACAGTGGAGATGAAATGTCCAGTGATAGCCTGGGTCTGGCTCCCGATGAGGAAGACTCTTCAGACGAAGAAGCAGAGATGCGTGGATGTTTAACGAGAGGGCGATCCGGAAAAGAAGAGCAATGGAATCCTGCCATACCTCATCTAGAAGAATCCTTTGTTCCTACAGATGCAGAAAGAAAAAAAGATTTGCATTTGGATGAGCAAGAACAGCTGTCAGAACC